AGGCAGGGAGCAGGTCGGGCGGGGGGTGGGTGGGCTAGCTGCAGGCCGGGGCAGCAGGATTGTTCGTTGGAGGAGGCGGGGGGGCAAGGCAGTGGAGCGCGACGGCGGGGAGAAGCAACACCCCCGCCGCTGTGTCTGACAGGCGTCTTGCGTTTATGTCCGCCATAAACGTGAGACGCCTGTCCGGCCCAGCAGCGGGGACCTTTCTTCTCGCCGCTGCTGCGGTCTTGCCTCACCAACGGTAACCCTCACTACACGTCACTGTAGAGGAGGAGGAGGAGATAGAGAAGGAGAAGAAGAAAGAGGAGAAAGAAACAAGAACAAGAGGAGGAGGAAGAGGTGGTGGTGGTAGTTCTCATCCAAGAAAATTCACCAGCTGGTAAGGAACAAATCACAATAGTCTTCCTCAAGAAAAAAATTAAAACAGCCCAATTGCCTTTTGAAAAAAAGCATCTTTGAGACCTTTGAAGATTGCTGTTTCACGTTTGGCTGGTGTCCTTCAAATGATGGTGATAGGGAGGAGGAGGAGGAGGAGGAGGAGGATTGCAATGATATCCATTATAAAAACTGACAAAATGCAAACCACAGTTATCAGGATCAGAGAAATCTCACAGTTGGATTACTGACCGAGTAGTTGCATGTCTCCAGGACAATGACACGGTTGGCAAAGGTCTCATTATGGGCTTCAATAACGAGGGTTCTCTCTCTCCAGTTCACTGTATTTTTTTGTATGAAAAAGACATATTCTACCCCAGCAATCTGAAAGAAACAGCAGCAAAAGTAAGAAGAGCAGCCTAAAAGGCAAAGGAAGAGCTAAGGGTGTCGGGGTTTCGAGATAGTTTAAGGACAGGGACTGTCAGAAAGAATGTACTATAGTCCTTACTTTCTTGAGTAGCCGAGGTGCATCCACATTCAATTTGCAACTCCTTTCAATGATCTGAATGGCTCCGTCTTCACTCTTGGATTCATGAAGGATCTCACTGCCCAGAAAAACTGGGATCTCCGGGCAGGTTGGAAAACGTTTTTCGTAAGCCTGGGAAGGAAGGAAGGAAGGAGGAAGGAAGGAAGAATGAGAGAAGGAAGGAAGGAAGGAAGGAGGAGGAGTGAGAGAAGGAAGGAACAAATGAGGAACAAGAGAAGGAAGGAAAGGAGGGAGGAGGAATGAGAGAAGGAAGGAAGGGAGGAATGAAATAAGGAAGGAAGAAGAAGAAAGGAAGAACAAGAGAAGGAGGAAGAAGGAATGAGAGAAGGGAGGGAGGGAGGAAGCAAGGAAGAGTGAATGAGAGAATGAAGGAAGAAAATGGGAAAGAGGGAAGGGAGGGAGGGAGGGAGGGGAGAAGGGGGGAGGAAGGGAAGGAGGAAGAGGAAGGAGTAAGTGGAGAGGGAAGAGNTTCCTCCTTATTTCCAGGTTGAATCTTTCCTTGATCAGTTTCCATCCATGATTCCTTGTCTGGCCTTCAAGTCCCTTGGAAAACAGCTTGACCCCTCTCCTCCCTGTGTCAGCCCCTCAAATATTGGAAGACTGCTATCCTGTCGGTTCCACCACAAATGCGCACACAACAAAAGCGCGCCTAACTAAACCGCGGTGTCTAAAGCGCGGTGACAAAACCACGCAACGAATGAGCGACTAATTAGTCCTAAAGCGTGCCGACAAAAGCGCGCCGACAGAAGCGCGCTATAACGTAACCCTCAACCTAACCCTCAACCTAACCCTAAACCTAACCCTAACCCTAACCCTAACCCTAAATGTAAATCTTACCTTAAATGAAATCGCGCTTCTGTCGGCGTGCTGTTGTCGGCGCGCTGTTGTTGGCGCGCTTTTGACATCGTGGTTTTAGCGCCGCGGTGTTGTCGGCACGCTTATGACGTTCGCGCTTTTGACAGGTCACGATCCTGTCTCCCCTGGTCCTTCTGGCTCTTTTGTTTAAGAAGAGCCTCACACCTTCACATTCAATGCTGAAGGAAGAAGAGAACTTCCCCCGCTCAAGATTCTCACGCTCCATTTCGGTTGTCTCAACCTGACAGCTAAGCCTAACTGGGCTGGAAGGAAGCCTGCCCAAGGGGGAAAGTGCTGACTCCGGTGTGTGTGTGTGTGTGTGCATGTACGTCTGTGCCAAGTACAACATGCTTTGTGTTTTAAAATTGAGGGCTCAAGGAGGAGGGATTCTTGCCTTGCAATGAAAGGGGAAGGAGCGAAGGGGGAAAGAAGGCCAACAATATCAGCCCTCCCTTGATTGTGTTCCAAATTTCTGTTGCTAGCGGGACGGTTGTTGAGTCTTGCCCCATTGTATGACCTTTCCTGCCACAGTGAATCACTGCAGTTAACTCAGTCACTGGTTTGCTAAGGGAATCTGGCTTCCCCGTTGACTTCGCTTGTCAGTAGGTCACAAAAGGTGATCACATGTCAAGCGTCATAAATATGAACCCAGTTGCCAAACGTCCAAATTTCAATCATAGCGATAGCACTGAGATTTATAGAAAGGTAAAGGTTCCCTCGCACATACGTATATGCTAGTTGTTCCTGACTCTAGGGGGCAGTGCTCATCTTCATTTCAAAGCCGAAGAGCCAGCACTGTCCCATGACGTCTCTGTGGTCATGTGGCTGGCATGACTAAACGCCAAAGGCTCACGGAACGCTGTTACCTTCCCACCAAAGGTGGTTCCTATTTTTCTCCTTGCATTTTTTAATGCTTTGGAATTGCTTGGTTGGCAGAAGCTGGGACAAGTAACAGGAGCTCACTCCATTACATGGCACTAGGGATTTGAACCGCCAAACTGCCGACCTTTTCTGATGGATAATCTCAGCGTCAGCCACTGAGCCACTGTGTCCCTTGATATATTACTCCATAATTCTTTACAGCATTCTCTGGGCGGTTTACAATGTCAGCATTATAATCTGGCACTGGGTCCTCATCAACCTTGAGCTGGTCAGGATTGAACTCCTGGCTAGGGGCAGAGTTAGCAATACTGCATTCTAAGATTGGATGCCAATGAAAACCCCTGTTAAGGACTTGCTGCCACTCATTCAGCTGTGGCCTATCTGTGACCCAAAAGCCTCTTTGCTGGAAGACCCTCTGCTAAAGCCTGACCCTCAGAGGTAGTTACTCTCTTCCAGCAAAGCCTAATAATGTGCTTCATAGGATGAAGTGGTGCGGTGGCCTAGAGGTGGAGCTCTCGCCTCACAATCAGGAGGCTGTTAGTTCGATCCTAGGTAGAGGCAGATATTTCTCTCTCTGGGCACAATGAGAATATACTATCTGCTGAATATAACTCCACATTGGCGACAGGAAAGGCATCTGGCCAGTAAATGCTCAGCTCCATTCAGTTGCTTTGACTTCATCTCGCAAGGGGTTATGGGATCATTAAAAGATTATGATGAGGATGAGGATCAAAAATACTAGGTTGTCACTTTCTTTAATGCTCTTCTGCTGTTATCAGTCTAGGGCAGGGGTTCCCAATCTTGGGAACTTTAAGATGTCTGGACTTCAACTCCCAGAATTCTCCAGCCAGCATGCCAAGATGGGGAGCCCCTAGTCTAGAGTTACATTTAGAGCCATGTTGATTAGAGCCCAGAAATGATCTGTCTGGGGTGTTCTTCACTGCAGCCTCCACTTCAAAGATCCCCTTGTGGTCTCCTCTCCATCTCTTCTTAGCTTCAGTGCCTTGGAAAACAAAAAGAACTGAGAAATTCTTAACAGGAATCTGCCCCACCTCCATCTAAGCGTCTTTTATCTACTGCACAGTTGGGATAATAATTATTATTTATATTAGACCCGCCGCACAATCTGCTGAAAAAATAATCTATGCAAAGTGCTTGGAATAGATTTTAAAATTCTTAGGGGATGATTAATGTAAGAGTAGCAAGTTCTTTGAATACATTTGTATTAATAATGAGTTATTGGGGGGAATTCCCCCCCCCCAGCTCAAAGGACTGATATAGTAAAGAATTAACGACCATCATTTTAAACATGGCTTATAAATTAAGGTCCAGCTCGCCTCTCTGGCAGGTCAGTTCCAGGCTGAGCTCCCAGGAATCTTTAAAGAGGGCGTACAATTTTTTAAAAGATCTGCTCACTTTTGAACTCTCTAGTGTGCCTTTTTCCTCTGCGATGAATAGCAATGTGGATCTCAAGGATCACACTGTTTTGGGATTTATCCTACAACTCTATTATTAATGAAGGCAGTTGTGCAAGAGCATCACTTAGAGAATTGATGCTTTAGAAGTGTGGTGCTGTAGAAGCCTTGTGCGAATCCCTCTCCTCAAAGCAGAACACCCTACACCATTTCTGACAATGGCAGTCCAATCTCTTATTGAAAGTCTCAAGTGATGAAGCTCCCACAACTTCCGAAGGCAACTTCTGTTCCATGGGTTAATTGCTCTCACTGTCAGAAAATTCCTTGTTTCTAGGTTGAATCTCTCCTTGGTCAGTTTCCATCCATTATTCCTTGTCTGGCCTTCAGGTGCTTTGGAAAATAGTGTGACCCCCTCCTCTCTGTGGCAGCCCCTTAAATATCGGAAGACTGCTATATCCAGAGGGATTACTGGATAAAGGNATGCACTATCAGGATGTTATGGCGTTCTAGGAGTTTGTTTTCTCCTGTGTGGTTCAGCGTGGCTCTGCAGGTCCTGGTATGAACTGGACAATGGGGGAGACACACGTACACAAGGAACTATATTACAACAAGTCAACCGGAGTTACCCATCTAAATGAGGAGGTCTCCAACCTCGGTGACTTTTAAGACGTGGGGACTTCAATTCTCAGAATTCCTCAGCCAGCGAAGCTTCGCTGGCTGAGGAATTCTGGGAGTTGAAGTCCCCACGTCTTAAAGTCGCCAAGGTTGGAGACCCCCCCCCCCCGGTGTAAGTTCCAATTGGTGCTGATCAAATTTATTTTCTAGGCGGTTCACCTTCTCGATGAGATGGACTTGGATGGAGACCGGAGGCTTTCCGCCAACGAAATCCTCGAAAACCAAGATATGTTTCTCAACAGCGAAGCCACCGATTACGGCCGACAGCTGCACGACAAAAGTTTCTACCACGAAGAGCTTTAATTTCCAAAAAGATGCTTTTCCCTTCCTTTCCAAATTGAGATTTTCTCTCCCCCCCCCCCAGCCCTTGTTATTGAGCTCCAAAATAATAATAATAATAATGCCAATCGGGCAGCAATTTTATGTTGCTAACATTCCCTGTACGTTGCCAGCATTACTTTTGCGGTCTAATTTAATTTTAAATTTTTTTTTTTTAAAGAGGAAGAGAACAGAGACTTCGATACCGCTTTTTGAAACTTGAAAATGCCAGGGTTTGACTGCAAAGTGTCAGCCCTCCTTTCGGTTAGATTTTTAAAAATTATTTTAGGAAAAGGGAAAATGCAGTTGTAGCTGTGTGGTTGCGTGTTGTTAAATAGTTTTTCTATCCTATTTTGTACATTACAAAATTCGGGAGGATGAAGTGTTACATGCGAGGTTTCTGTGCGTATTCACCGGTTTGGGTGGTAGAACGATAGGGAAATATTTTCGCATTTGGAAAGTATTCTATTTACTTGGATTAAAATGTTCAAATGCCCGCCTCTCTTTTTTTTTCCTTCCCTTTCGTGCTGCTTCTTTGTATGAATCTCTTAAAAACTGCATTCTGTCTAGCTCGAAGGGGCTCAGTGGCTAAGANCAATCACCAGGAGACAGAGAGTTCTAGTCCCGCCTTGGGCATGAAAGCTGGCTGGGTGACTTTGGGCCAGTCACCAGGAGACGGGGAGTTCTAGTCCCGCCTTGGGCATGAAAGCTGGCTGGGTGACTTTGGGCCAATCACCAGGAGACGGGGAGTTCTAGTCCCGCCTGAGGCATGAAAGACAGTTGGGTGACAACGAAAGAAGAATCCCAGGCTTAAGTTTCCTCAAAGTTCTGTTTTATTAGAGACGCCTTATTGGCACATCTGGGGGAACCTAAATCTGAAAACTTCCAGGTTTTCCTCACCCAAAAGAAAGTCCAAGGCCATCACATGGTCCAATCAGGCCCCGTCCAAAACTGGAGATGCCTCCCAGTCACACCACTCCAGATGCAGGGCAAGACGTCCTTGACTCTCTGAGAAAGGAATGTTATTTTGACTATATATATCTCACCCAAAGCTTGCAGGACACCCCCCCCAATCTGTTCTCAGGGGGTATCCCCTGCCAAGGGGTTGAAGGTCAGCCACCAGGGGGGAGGGGAGGGTGTCCCGTTCCCCAGGCTAACTGGGAAGTCTCCCCAGATGAGCTGAGTTCCTGGATCCAGCACTCCTTCAAGGATTACATCATCGAAGACGCCAAGCAGCAGTTCCACCACTACGACAAAGATGGCGACGGGCGGATCTCTTGGGAGGAGTATAACATCCAGATGTACGACCGCGTCATCGACTTCGAAGAGGACACCACGCTGGACGATGCCGAAGAAGAATCCTTCCGGCAGGTGAACGGCCTCAAAGGAGCACCAAAAACACGGAATGTCTCCATTTTATTTGTGATTCTCTTATCCTTTCCTGGATGGTTAAAAAGTTAATATTTCCGCTTATGGGACTTAATCCCCTTTCTGGGGAAGCATAAAAACTGGGCTGGGGTAGTGGTGGAAGCACCCTCTGTTCATTGGGTTGGAACGGGGGTTGGCAATCTGTGGCTCCGGAGCCGCATGTGGCTCTTTCAGCCCTCTGCTGCGGCTCCCAGTTGCCGATCGGCTCCACAGTTGATAGGGCTTTCGGTTAGGACAGGTAGAGGAAAAAGAATGCCGTGCTAGGAGGAGACTCTACGGTGGGGGGGAACAGGACTTTCGGTCAGCAGAGGAAAAAGGATGCCGTGCTAGGAGGAGACTCTATGGAGGGGGGGGAACTGGATTTCCGGTCAGCAGAGGAAAAAGGATGCCATGCTAGGAGGAGACTCCATGGTGGGGGAACCGGACTTACGGTTGACTCTCCAATCAGTTTCCTAGATTTGATTTTGAACAACGTTGTTAGTGACACGAACACGGTTGACTTGGAGCTAAGCCCATGTGGGTACTCAAAAGATGGGTGGTGATATTCTCCTGCCTTCAATTTTCATTTTTAGAAAAACTAACCGGTTTTGTTTAGTTTCAGTTGAGTTTAGTTAGGGTGACACGATAGCAGTGTGGCAATATTTGAGGGGCTGCCACATGGAAGGAGGTGGGTCAGCCTATTCTGCAAAGAACATGAGGGCAGGAGGAGAAGAAATGGATGGGAGCCAATCAAGGGGAGAGGCAACCTGGAATTAAGGAGAAATTTCCTGACAGGGAGGACAGTTAACCAATGGAATAATTGGCCCCCAAAAGACCAGCTCCATCCCTGGAGGCTTTTAAGAAGAGTCCGAAAAGATATAGGGTCTCCTGCTTGAAGAGGGCTTTGGACTAGAAGACTTCCAAGGTCCCTTCCAATTCTGTTATTTGGTTTTCCTTCCTTCCTCCTTCCTTGCCTCTCGCTCCCTCCCTTCCCCTTCCCCCTCCCTCTCTCTCCTCCCTCCCTCCCTCCCTTCCCCATCACTGGAGGTTTACAAGAAGAGATTGGACAAGCATTCGTCCATAATGATGTAGGGCCTCCTTCTTGAGTAGTGGGATAGACTAGAAGACCTCCAAGGTCCCTTCCAATTCTGTTATTTGGTTCCTTCCTACCTTCATTCTTTCCTTCCTTACTCACTCACTCACTCACTTCCCCCTCTCTCTTCTTTCTTCCTTCTTCCTTCCCTCCATTCCCACCTTCCTTTCTTCCTCCTTCCCTCCCTTCCCCCTCTCTCTAGTTCGTTCGTTCCTTCCTTCCTTCCTTCGTTCCTTCCTTCCTTCCTTCCCTCCCCATCACTGGAGGTTTTCAAGGAGAGATTGGACAAGCATTCGTCCATAATGGTATAGGGCTTCCTTCTTGAGTAGTGGGATAGACTAGAAGACCTCCAAGGTCCCTTCCAATTCTGTTACTTGGTTCCTTCCTACCTTCATTCTTTCCTTTCTTACTCACTCACTCCCTTCCCTCTCTCTCTTCTTTCTTCCTTCTTCCTTCCCTCCATTCCTACCTTCCTTTCTTCCTTCTTCCCTTCCTTCCCCTCTCTCTCCTTCCTTCCTTCCTTCCTTCCTTCCTTCCCCATCACTGGAGGTTTTCAAGAAGAGATTGGACAAGCATTCGTCCATAATGGTATAGGGCTTCCTTCTTGAGTAGTGGGATGGTCCCTTCCAACTCTGTTATTCAGTTAGTTCTATTTATGAAACCGAGTCTGAAATGTTGGCGGGAAGCTTTCGAAAGGGGACTATAACAGCGGACTGTAAATATCAAGATTTTTTTGGTCTTCTTAATCAAGAAATACCTTCCTCTTTGCGAGACGTGGAAAAGATGAGAAACTGACCTGCTTAAGGGATGGCACTCTTGGGTAGGCGGGCTGGGTGGACCTGGGAGCCTGCTTGGTTGAGGGTCAAGGGGCCCAAGGGGCTTCGGGGAGGCGGAAAGGGACACCTTGGCCTGCAAATTCAGGTTTTATTCTTGTCTTCTTCCCCACAGCTCCATTTAAAGGACAAAAAGAGGTTCGAAAAGGCTAATAAGGATGGCGATTTGATGTTAGATTTTGAGGAATTTGTCGCCTTCGAGCATCCGGAGGAGGCCGACTACATGAAGGCAAGTCTCGTAAAAACGGGCTACAGGAGGGGCTGCTTTTTACCCGTCGCCCCCCAGCCCCACTTTTGTCGGTTTATCAAAATATAAAGTAGAAAACCTACAAAGAAAAATAATGATGATGAAAAAATAAGGAGGGAAAAGGCTCAGGGTGTGCGTTATGTTAAGATACAGCCTGTTGTGCCTTAAAATGGATTCTACCGTTCTGCCTTAAAATGGCTTCTACTGTACAGCACAGTGGAGCTGACATGGTAACGGCTTCACAGTACTCCACAAGGGGGCTCCCTCTGGTAAGGGGGGAAAATCCAACATTAGAAATTACGTTTGGTCCAGATATTTGTGAATGTCTTAATACAGTATTCGGAATAAACAAATACCGGGGCAACNTTCTATTCTATCCTATTCTAATTTTTTCTTCTATTCTGTTTTCTTTCATATTCTTCTATTCTTCTATTCTTTCTTCTATTCTTCTATTCTATTCTATTCTAATTTTTTCTTCTATTCTATTTTCTTTCACATTCTTCTATTCTTCTATTCTTTCTTCTATTCTATTCTTCTATTCTATTCTTCTATTCTATTATTCTTTCTTCTATTTTCTTTCATATTCTATTCTTTCTTCCATTCTTTTATTCTTTCCTCTCTTCTTCTCTTCTCTTCTTCTTTCTTCTATTTCATTCATATTATTCTATTCTATTCCATTCTATGCTTTCTTCTATTCTTTCTTCCATTCTCCTATTCTATTATTCTATTATTTCTTCTTCTATTCTTCTATTCTATTATTCTTTTTCTATTTTCTTTCATATTCTATTCTATGCTTTCTTCTTCTATTCTATTCTTTCTTCCATTCTTTTATTCTTTTTTCTATTCTATTCTTCTCTTCTATTATTCTTTCTTCTATTTCATTCATATTATTCTATTCCATTCTATGCTTTCTTCTATTCTTCCATTCTCCTATTCTATTATTCTATTATTTCTTCTTCTATTCTATTCTATTATTCTTTTTCTATTTTCTTTCCTATTCTATTCCATTCTATGCTTTCTTCTTCTATTCTATTCTTTCTTCCATTCTTCTATTATTCTATTATTTTTTCTTCTGTTCTTCTATTCTATTCTATTATTCTTCTATTTTCTTTCATATTCTATTCTATGCTTTCTTCTTCTATTCTTTCTTCCATTCTTCTATTATTCTATTCTTTCTTCTATTCTTTCTTCTATTATTCTTTCTTCTATTTTCTTTCATATTATTCTATTCCATTCTATGCTTTCTTCTTCTATTCTTTCTTCCATTCTATTCTTCTTTCTTCTATTTTATCCTACCCTACCCCACTCCACTCAACTCTATTCTACAGATAAATGTCTTTACGTTAGCTGGGCAACTCACTGCGTAACCCCCCCTTTACTCCCTGCCGCAGAGGAAATGCAGCCGGTTTAACTTTCATACTTTGTTCTCCTAAGCAAACTATTGTCTCTCCCCTTCGGGGCAACCCACAAATGATTTGGGACCAACGCATGAGCCAAAATTCAGGGGGGGGGGGGCTATGCTGTCCTGCAAGCCTATTTGCCCTTGCCCCAAAAACGCTGCCACTCGTGTGGCACAGATGCAGCGCACAACCGAAACCTGCACACACACACACCCAGGCGCGAGCTGTGCATTTCCTTCGCTCGACGGAGGGGGTGAAAAAAAATTGGGGGGGGGGGGGGGCTATGCTGTCCTGCAAGCCTATTTGCCCTTGCCCCAAAAACGCTGCCACTCGTGTGGCACAGATGCAGCGCACAACCGAAACCTGCACACACACACACCCAGGCGCGAGCTGTGCATTTCCTTCGCTCGACGGAGGGGGTGAAAAAAAATTGGGGGGGGGGGGGGGCTATGCTGTCCTGCAAGCCTATTTGCCCTTGCCCCAAAAACGCTGCCACTCGTGT